ATCTCCAAATTTTTTGGAAGGAATTTATTAAGATATATGTGGGCCATACACCCATATGTTGACAATTTTGTTATTTTATGGTATTAGTTGATTATTCAACTAGATGGTCATATATTTGCCTAATTTTCACTAGGAATGTAGCTTTTTACTTGACTATTTGCTCAAATCATAAAATTACGAGCTCAATTTCTCGATTACTTGATCAAGACAATTCATCTTGACATTGATGGTGAATTTAGATCACAAGCATTCAATAATTATTGTATGCCAATTGTGATTATCATTGAACATTCAGTTGTGCATGTCTATACACAAAATGGTTTAGAAGAGTCATTTATTAAACGTCTACAACTTATTATTGAACCATTACTTATGAAAACAAAACTCTCAACTTCTATTTGGGGACATGTCATATTACATGTCGCTTCATTGGTTCGTATTAGACCAACTGCCATTATCAATATTTACCTTTGCAACAAACATTTGGTCATGAACCTATTTCTTACCTACGAGTTTTTGATTGTGTTGTCAAAGTCCATATTTCACCTTCACAATATTTTAATATGGGTCCCCAACGAAATTTTGTGATTTTATATGGTTTTGATTCACCATTTATTATTAGGTATCTTGAACTTTTAACGGGTGATATATTTACTGTACGTTTTGCATATTGTTATTTTGATGAAATGACTTTCCCAACTTTGGAGGGGGAAAAGCTACATTTTGAAAAATAAGGTGAAATTTATTGGAATGAAACGACTATATCTCATTTTGATATCCGCTACAATCAATGTAAGTAATATGTTGAAAAAATCATTCATTTGCAAAATATTGCAAATCAATTACCTGATTTATTTATTGACTCAAGAAATGTGACAAAGTTATTTATACCTTCCAGCAAAAATTAATGTCCTTGAACGACAATTTGTTGTAGTAAATGAATCTCAATTACGTTAGAACAATGGNGGACATTCAGGAGCTATAATGATGCATTGAATAATAAACAACTGGCATTGACATCTTTTAAAGAACCAGGAGATTTATTTACCTAATGATTATCCATGTGTAGTTTGTTAAAAAGGCGAGTTAATTGTTAGATTTTTGGCTACAAAGATCAATATTGAATCTCCAAATTTTTTGGAAGGAATTCATTGAGATATATGTGGGCCATACATCCATATGTTGACAATTTTGTTATTTTACGGTATTAGTTGATTATTCAATTAGATGGTCATATATTTGCCTAATTTTTACTAGGAATGTAGCTTTTTACTTGACTATTTGCTCAAATCATAAAATTACGAGCTCAATTTCTCGATTACTTGATCAAGAGAATTCGTCTTAACATTGATGGTGAATTTAGATCACAAGCATTCAATAATTATTGTATGCCAATTGTGATTATCATTGAACATTCAGTTGTGCATGTCTATACACAAAATGGTTTAGAAGAGTCATTTATTAAACGTCTACAACTTATTATTGAACCATTACTTATGAAAACAAAACTCTCAACTTCTATTTGGGGACATGTCATATTACATGTCGCTTCATTGGTTCGTATTAGACCAACTGCCATTATCAATATTTACCTTTGCAACAAACATTTGGTCATGAACCTATTTCTTACCTACGAGTTTTTGATTGTGTTGTCAAAGTCCATATTTCACCTTCACAATATTTTAATATGGGTCCCCAACGAAATTTTGTGATTTTATATGGTTTTGATTCACCATTTATTATTAGGTATCTTGAACTTTTAACGGGTGATATATTTACTGTACGTTTTGCATATTGTTATTTTGATGAAATGACTTTCCCAACTTTGGAGGGGGAAAAGCTACATTTTGAAAAATAAGGTGAAATTTATTGGAATGAAACGACTATATCTCATTTTGATATCCGCTACAATCAATGTAAGTAATATGTTGAAAAAATCATTCATTTGCAAAATATTGCAAATCAATTACCTGATTTATTTATTGACTCAAGAAATGTGACAAAGTTATTTATACCTTCCAGCAAAAATTAATGTCCTTGAACGACAATTTGTTGTAGTAAATGAATCTCAATTACGTTAGAACAATGGTTGACGGTTGTTCAAAATACTTTGTATCTCGAAAAAGAAAGGTACATGAGAAAACCACTCAAAAACTTCAAAAGAAATAACATTAGAAAATATTGATCATCCAAATATTGAAAATATGGTTCCTGAATAACCACAATTGTCCGAAAATAATGAGATTTCAACAAATTATCTATTATCTCATAAATTATAGGAATGAAATAATATTGTTATAGATAATATTTTCGCATTTAACATAGCTCTTGATATTATGCAAAATGAGGATTCTGAATCACAATCTGTTAATGACTGTCAACATAGAAATGACTGATCAAAATGAAAAGAAGTCATACAGAAGGAAATGAATTCCTTAGAAAAACGGAAAGTATTTAGACATGTAGTTCGAACACTTGAAAATATAATCCCCATTAGATAAACATTGGTTTTTGTACAAAAGTGAAATGAAAATAATAAAATTATAAGATACAAACCCCGACTCGTAGTTCAAAATTTCTCACAAAGACTATGAATTGATTATAAGGAAATATATTATCTAGTAATAGATATCATATCTTTTAGATTCTTAAGTTTGAACGTGTCAGAAATACTCGATATGCAATTTATGGATGTAGTAACTACTTATTTGTATGGTTCATTTGATAGTGACATATATGTGAAAGTTTCTGAAAGATTTAGACCCCGTTCGGGAGGGATTAAAAGCCAATTAAAATTGAAAAAATAGCCGTTATTGGATCCCACTCGTCTAATAAAAGTCAACAATAACGGTTATATTTTCAATTTTAATCCGATTTTAATCCCTTCCATACAAGGCCTTAAAGTGCTAGGAACAAATGACATGTGCTCGAGAACCACATTCTCAATTAAATTGTAAAGATCATTATATTGATTGAAACAATTCGGACGCATGTGGTATAATCGCCTTAACAAATATTTGTTGAAAGATAGTTATAAAAATGACGATATATGTCCATGTGTTTGCATAAATAAAACAAATATTAAATTTGCAATTGTGTAAATTTATGTTGATGATTTAAATTTAATTAAAAATTCTGAAGAGCTCAACAAAACTGCAAATTATTTAAAAAATAAATTTTAGATGAAAATTTTGAGAAAAATCAAATTCGTTCTCGGATTACAGATTGGACATTTCCTGAAATGATTATTCGTTCATCGATCTACATATGCAGAAAAAGTCTTAAAATACTTTTATATACATAATGTATATCCATTGACATCGTCTATGGTTGTTCGAATGCTTGATGTGAAAAAGATTCATTTCGTCCACTTAAAGATAGAGAAAATATTTTTGGTCCTAAAATACCACATCTTAGTGCAATTGAAGCATTAACTTATTTTACAAACTGTACTCGACCCGATATAATTTTTTTTGTAAATCTCGTTACAAGATATATTTTTAAACAAATTTAAAGAGATTGGAATGATGTTAAACATATTATTCGTTATCTAAATGGTACTATTGATTTGAGATTATTCTATTATCAAAAGTTGAGATCTACTTTAGTGGGATATGCATATGGAGTTATTTATCCAACCTACATAAAGTTAAATCATAAACAAGATGTGTGTTTACACGTGAAGGAACAACTATATCATGCGAAGCAATCTTTAATGGCAATATACTCAAATCATTTTGAAATTATTGCAATTCATGAAGCAGATCGAGAATGTATATGGTTGAGGAACATGACCCATTATATCCAAGTATCTTGATGATTAAATGTCAACAAAAGATAGTCCAATAATTTGGTATGAAGACAATGCTGCTTGTATTACACAATTCAAATGATGATATATCAAATGTGAGATGAAGAAATATATTTCTCTAAAATTCTTTCATACACACGAGTTTCAGAAAAATGATGATATCAATATTCAACAAATTCGCTCAAGTGACAATGTGGTTGATTTATTTATTAAAACACTACCAATATCTACATTCAATAAATTGATTCACGAGATTGGGATGAGTCGACTCAAAGACTTTCAGTGATTAACATCAGGGGAAGTAACTGTACACCTTTTCCTTCGCTCAAATTTTGTCCCACTAAATTTTCCCTAACAAGGTTTTAATGAAATAACATTTATCTTTAATATTCCAAAATAACTGTACTTTTTTTCCCCTTCATTTGAATTTTTTTTATCTCGTTGGGTTTTTATGAAACAAAGTTTTAACGATGTAGATATTTTGTAATGTGTTATTCAATAAGGAGTGTTGTAAATAATAAGTTTATTAGTGAATAGAAATTATACCCCTACAATCCTAGAAATTATTAATATTGTATCACAATCATTCCTTATATTTATGGAGTTTTGGTTCTCAATAAAATATATAAGTTTATTGACTTCTCTCATTCTTTTCCCTTTTCTCTAATTTATAACATATAAAATATTATAGGATTGCACGGGTTAAATATCCTTACAAAGCAAGTTCATGCCATATAAATGTATTTGAGAAATCATCTATTATGCTCTCATTATCCCCCATTAAATTATAATTTATTTATTTCTTTTATTTCTTATCAATTATACATTTTTTAAATAAAATAATATTGCACATAAATTCAAAAAACTTTTTTCTTCTTTTTTAACTATATATTCTGTCAAAATATTACTATTTCTATCAATATAACGTGGAATAATGGGGTCAAACGGGCTCTAAGTCCAATTTGATTTTGTCAAAATTTAAATTTTTAATGAAAATTGTAAATTTTGTAAAAATATGTGATCGAATATGAATATAAAAAAATAAAAAAATAAAATAACAACGTAAAAATTCAGTATTTTGCGATTAGAAATATCCAGACTGACTCCGGTCTTTTTTTCACACTCAAACCCTAACGTTCTCCAGATTTCCCTCTCGTTTACTGGCCGGTCGGCGTTTATACAAGTAAAGATGTCGGGTGCCGCTCTTGACATGACTCTTGATGATCTAATCAAGAGCAACAAGAAATCCGCTCCTCGGGGTAGAGCCCGCGGCTCTGGTCCCGGCCCCGCTCGCCGCTTCCCCGACCGCACTGCCAACCGTGCTGCGCCCTATGCCGTGCCCAAGGTCAGATCCGCTTTTTTCTCCGGTCAATCTCACTCTAGTTTTTCACGTGCATGAGTACTTATGTTAATCTCATGAATTTAGGCCCCGGAATCAGCTTGGGGTCATGACATGTTCGCTGGTGCCGGTCGAGCTTCTAATATTGAAACTGGGACGAAGTTATACCTATCGAATTTGGATTATGGCGTCTCTAACGAGGATATTAAGGTGATTCTTTGTTGCTAATTTATTTTAAAATTCTAATTGATTATGTTCATTTCTCCCTTTTTAAATTTGCTAGATTGTAGGACTTAATAAGTGTTATTGAAATGGGAATCGTCTTCTTAATCCACAGGAACTCTTCTCAGAGGTTGGTGACCTGAAACGGTATACAATACACTATGATAGGAGTGGGAGATCAAAGGTATTATTCAAGTTTGGCTTAATCTGGCATTGCTGTGAAGATTGTGCTTTGTTGATGTAGCAAAAACTCTTTTCTGTAGGGTACTGCTGAAGTAGTCTTCTCAAGACGTCAAGATGCACTAGCAGCTGTCAAGAGGTACAACAATGTCCAGCTAGACGGCAAACCCATGAAAATAGAGCTAGTTGGAACAAACCTTAACATCCCTGCCGCCGGTCTTCCATCCACTGGTGCTTTTGATGGTTCAAATGTAGCTCCACGAAGGTGTGTATCTATGTTTTAATATTACAGTATGTATTGTTACTATTGATCTCGTGTAAAGTCTTATATGTATGGTTGAGGTAGGGCATGTTTTGTGAAAATCACCAGTCGGTTTACACCTCTTTTATTTTTTTATTTTTTTGAGAATTTGAAGAATGGAACTTTAGTGCTCAATTATGGATATTTCTGAGGCTGAAAGGATTAAAGATGGGTAAGGATGGATAGATGTTTATTTCATGAGTTAGCAAGTTATATAAAAATCAGGAGCTGTCTTCGGAACGATGAAAACAGTACCTAACTACTGTCTTTCTAAGGGAAATTCTTTTACCATTTATTGATTATCCTTGGACTAGAGGGGTTTGTATATATGTTATTTAGTGATGACATTTATGGCTATAGATTGATGTTCTTGGTTAAATAAACATAATTGTACACGTATAGATGCTTAATATGGAATTCATGCATGGGCGGATGGAGAGGCCCATCCCTGAAGCAAATTGGTTTTTAAAAATTGGAAGACTTGGCCCAAGTTCTTGGTAAAAATAAAAAAGAATAAAAATTTAGCCCAACCCAAAAATGAATTTTAGCCTAACTTTATTCTTAACCCAAGCCCAATGTTCAATTATTCAAATTTAGTTTAAAACTCTACAACAATTACATATTTATTTTATTCATATTCATGATACACAAATATTTTATAATCAAATTAGTTTATTATATAGAGTTTGTTTGGGAGGGATTTTAATCCAATTAAAATTGAAAATATAACTGTTATTGAGTCTCACTCGTCTAATAAAAGTCAACAATAATTGCTAGTTTTTCAATTTTAATCCCTCCTAAACAAGCTCATAATAAATATTTTTTATTGATTGAAGATAAATGACGTATTTGAACAGCATGACATGCCACATGTTTGACTAATCTTAAAAGTAAATAAATTTTTTCTAGTGTATTTTTTCATATATTACTTTTTTATACTCGTGAGTTTAAGAATTTATTTATTTCGACCATGAAATGGATGTTACCATCAAAATAAGTAATATGCTCNCCACAAGTACACATTTGGTTGAAGGTGAAGAGGATACTGCAGTTCATTGAAAAAAAAATTCGAGTGGTATAGGGCATCTTTTATGGTATGAGTTCATTGAAAAAAAAAATTAAATTGCAGCCCACCCTAACGTATCTTTCTGGCTCTGCCCCTGAATTCATGTCTCCATGCATGTGGACTGAGATTAGAATCATTAGATCAAAGTGGTGCTTTTTTGTTTTTTCACTGTTATTCGAAAATCATCTACGATGGAAGAAAAACAAATTACTAGCACAAAATGACTTTATTTAAAATATTTTTTCTCCGAGAGTTAATTGTTTTTTGTGCATGATCTGAATATGTTCCTACAAGTAAGTACCAATTACCTGAACATAATATTATTCCGATTAGTCATCAAAAAATTATCTTCATGGTTTTTTTTAGGGCAATGATTGCGGATGATGACCTCGTTGTTAATAAAATTTGTAGTGACGAGCATGTTTGGTAAAGCTTGAAAGTAGAATAAACTTTTATATAAACTTTTGTTTTCTGAATATGTTCTGGAAAATTACATTTTCCTTATAATTAAAAGGTTATTTATTTTATTAGTAGCGGATGTCACTTTCAAAATGAGTAACGTATTACTGACTTTGATCAACAAAAAAAATTACTTTAAAGCTTTTTACTTGAAAATTTTTAAGCTTAAAAACGGGCAAAAAAAATCAATGAATCTTTTTTCATCACTCATTTTGATTTATTGCTGCATGTACTGAAAATCTAGATCAGCTAAAGCTTTAGAATCTACCATGTAGCATGTTAGGTTTAGTATAACTTCCATATTCTAACCTGTATTATCAATTTTTAACATTCCTCTTTAATTTTATGCAAAAAATGTCGCGACCAATATAAAATCTATATTGGGAAAATGTAATTAAAAAATTGTGTAATGGAATTTTGTAGTTAGTATTTTGGTTGCTTAATATTACGTTTCTGAAATTCTGGTGATGGCAGTGCACAAGGAAGGGGCGGCGGTTTTGGTAGGTCACGTGGCAGTGGACGAGGTCGTGGATTTGGAAGAGGCCGTGGACGAGGAAGAGGTCGTGATGAGAAAATATCAGCTGATGATCTAGATGCTGATTTAGAGAAATATCACACCGATGCGATGCAGATGAATTGATTGGGTTCTTTTTGCACCTGCAGTAGTTTGATGATGTAAAATGTTCCTAGTAGTCTACTTTTGCAATCATTCAGCTCATTAGAAGAAAATGGAGATGTCTAGGATGGAGGGATGTGTGTGGGGGGGTGGGTGGGTGGTTAGAACCTTGGTTCAAAGAATTTGGTGTATTTTGTTTATTGTACCTTTAATTTGGATATCGTATATGAGTTGTTGAAACAAATGTGTGCATTCTATAATTTAACATTTTTGTTTTATTGGACCCAACTTTTGGTCACCTGAGATACGGGTAGTTTCTATGTGGGATGATGGCATATATTGAACTGCAATGTGTTGGGGGAAAATCAGACTGAAAGGCATCTGTCATGCTCAGTTTTGAAGCCTAGGGAGTGCTTCCGGCATATGAAACTACGGGGCATCAACTTTGAGGTAGTGTTCCTATTGTTCATTACATTTACGTTCAGGAAGTGGTTTTGGTTTGTACTTTCTGATTAGGAAGATTGCTGTGTCAAAACACTTTTAGTCACCCAACTTCGCGGTGTTTCATTTTAGTCATTTTAACATTTTTTTCCAAATCAGTCGCTAAATTTTCTTTTCTTTTTTTTCTTTTTGTTTCAATTTAGGCATCTTGTTTACCTTCATCTTCCGAATAGATGGAAATGATGTTTGAAAAACCCGTGGGTGCATTATTTTTATCTTCAATTAGGCAAAAAAATGTCTTGTTGGATCGGCCATGCTTTCTTTCTTTACACAACACGACTTGTCTAGTGTGATATGTTCTTTGCCTAGCTGAATGATAAAAATAATGCACTATCATTGTTTCAATGTTATGTCATCATTTCTGTTAGGCATGTCAACATATGTGTAATTAAGTTACACTGAGTTGGAGATTTCGTGAACTAAATGTTAATTTCTGGTTGAAGATGATTTCAAGATCTGGTCATTGCATACTCCAACATTGTTGGAAGAGTTTTGGGTATCGGTGTTGGACAAATTTTGATGGTGATATTGCCCTTGATTTCCCGACTTCCTCGCAAGGGTTCTGGATGAAGTTTAACAATGAAACTTTCGTAGAGCATTTGGTCATTTGAGGTTTCCCAAGTGAAACAGTGTCCTTGGTTGAGTTGGAAGCTTACAGCGTCAGCTATAGACTACAATGAATTATGGTCTTATATCAGCTTTGGGTTGCAAGTATGAGCAGCTTTAGTTTTCATTTACACCTTGTTTCACGGCATCTAACTGAAGTGTAAGCGTTGCTGATTATTGATAACAATAAAATATCACCCTCATTCATACTGATGCAATATATTTGTTACTGATGTAGTCCACGTTTGGTTCATGTTAATAAACTGTTTATGAATGCTTCAAGTTTTTATTCATAGATTTCGAGGGATATGCAAGTGCTATTCACTTGCCTAATTTAAATTGTTTATACACTTATATTATCCCAATTGAATTTACCAGCGATGTGGTTCAATGTAAATACAAACAAATTTTACATGCTTCTGTATCCTTTTTTACCGATGATGGTTGGAAAATTAGGAAATTATATGAGAAACAATGGGAAATAAAGACAGTCCACTCGTCATCAAACAAATTTTCGTATTACATGCTAAAGAATTATCAGCAAGGACTACGGTCGTTATGAGATTGGCGAACATCCTTTCAGTTTCACAAATTTATTGCCCCAAGCAGCACATCTTACATCTTGATTGGTACTAACGTTACACATGAAAATCATCCCAAATATGAAATTGGAAGACATTATTCCTCAAAGAAAAAACCCTGCCTTGAGATTAAAAACTTTCTAGACATCTTTGTGCTCGATTCGAAACCAGAATGCCCAACGAGGGTGAAAAAGAACAGGTGAAGATGGAGGAAGCTCACCAGCCCATCGATATCCTTCTAAACTTGTCTACAATCTGATTCCTGACAACCATACTACTTGACAGTTGAAACTTCTAGAAGGAACCTGTAGGCCTTCCATTCTTGTTCTGCCGCTGAATGCCTTCCAATTTCTGCTTAAACAAAAACACATAATCGAGTACTCTGCCAGTATCATTATATAATTTAGATCGAGGAAGTGATTCAAGAATCCTGCTTGCACATGCATACGCTCTCAAGGAGTCATTTTGCCTTAATCAACCGTATTACATTTTCTGTAATCTGAAGAATTTAATGGATCCTCAAAGTTCAATGGAAATAGCAATGAACTAACAGGTCTTATGAATCACCACTCTTGTACCCATGTATACTCACTGAGAATACGTAGATCCAAGAGACTCTTTAGGGCAAAAGTAACATCATACAAAACTCATGGCCTTCCCTTCCAGATAGCTCTACTGGATGAGCGACCAAAATTTCAGTATCTGGACCAAGATTTGTGATAACAACACGTAGCGGGCGAAGCATTTCCAGCTTTAGACGGAAGCAAAGTGCTTCTTGCTTTTCAGGATCCACTATCTTCTTCCCATCTTGATGCTGAATAAATAGGGTGACCATTCTTATTAAGATTTGGGATTCAATCTTAAAAACTCAAACTTATTAAGAGTAGTCGTCCAAACCCTTTTAAATTGATCTATATTTTCATCTTTATTTGATGTGGAATTTATCCCTTAAAACTTCTGGATTGTTGAAAATTGGCCATATGCTATCTAATAATAATAGAATAGCACATTATGTCAAACATAAGCTTCATACAATTGTCACATGTTTCTCCTATGTAGCATGACATGTGATAGTAGAAGTACGTTTGTTTCGGGTACTAGTAACTCGAAGAAAATAATGGTAATATGACATAGACAGAAAATAAACTAATGTATAAAGTAGAAGGCTTAGGACAATCAGTAAATTGACAATAAGAACATCTCCAGAAGATTCTATAAATACAAGATGCTATCTAGTATAGAGATTCAAAGCATAAAAATAAGTTCCAAGAAACTATCTTAACTTTTATTGGAGAGTCAAATCCACTCTATTCTTACTTTATAATCATTCCATAAAGACTCAAAATAGAGAGTATTGTTGGAGTGTGTAAAAAATTTTACTCCTTAAATATAAAGATGATCTCTCTATATATAATATGTTCTTTATAAGAAGAGAGTCGATAAGCAAGGTCCGTTCATAGAATTCAAATCGAAGGACATGAATAACAGACAAGTTGGTTAATACAGTTCATGCTAATGAATCATAGTAAATTTTTGATAGCGGACATTCATCTCCAATAAACTGAACAAGATGTGCATTAATTTGAAGAATTAATTGACGGTCAAAAGGCCAAAAAATAAACTCCCTTCCTAGTAAATAAGTGGATACAAGACCTCCACAGAGCTTAAGGTTTTTATTGAGGTATTCTAATAATTCCTTCGAACTCTCTCTACAAATATTTGTACAGATGCTAAGAGAAAACAATTGCAATATACTTCGCGACTTTTTTACTTAGAAGAAAAGTAATTTATCCAAGAATGTTTGGGAAAAAAGGTTACTTAAAACATGCTTTGGAAAAGAAAGTAACGAATGAAATATTAGTGTTTACCAAAACTGTTACTTTAACAAAATCAAACATAGGCAAGGGAGAAATAGTAATAAAACCTGAATATTGCAGTCTTTCAATGTCCTCATGATCTACACAGTTGATCTGAAGCAATGTATGAGATGGGCTCAATGAATTGTATGTAATCACACTAGCCTTCTTCAACTCTTTGATATCTGGGCTAAGAGCTTGTGTGCGAGTTTCCGTTTCAGACAGTGTGAATCTAAATAACTCTTCAGCAACAGCGGAAGACATAGAAGATATACCCAGAACGTTATTGTATTAAGGGCCTGCAACTGAAGTTCACAACCGATACATGAACTGCATGCAACTGCTTGCATGTTTTTTTTGTCTCTCTTTTGTTTGTTAGAGCTGCCTGAACATTTTTAAGGGATTGTAATCGAAACAAAGATAGATAAATAACCAGACCAGTCATACGAATAGAAACTTTTCTCTACAGTGGACAGGAAGGTACAAGGCTAAATAAATCCTAACCTATAGGCGGTGCTAATATTGAGGGGGAAGATAAACCTACATGTAATATTGGCCTATAAGTCATATTGACTAAACAATACCTTTCTATTTGTATCATATCCTAGGGTTGAACACGTACATTTACACAATAGACAGATGATTGGCCAATGCCATCATAGCAACTCCAAGAGACGAGGAATTCTACGATAGACCTGACCTGGTGCCGTGCCTACATCTTCTAGTGTGTGAGAAATGGTGCTAACAGTACCCAGTCTAAAACCTCGGCATATAAATCTCAAAGAGAAACTTCTATTATTCTGCAGAATATAACAGTAACAAACCAAGAGACAGGAGACACTGTCATTTGAAACTGTAAGGATAGTGTAAAAGAAAATAAATAAAAGAAACCAAGCCTAACATCCCTCAAATTGAAGGAGAACCAATTACTTGCCACCACGGGTTCACGACCACCGACAAATTAGATGAGCTGAAGTAACTACCATACACCAAATCTGAAACTGCGCCTTCAAAAAACTTTGAAACCCGTTCACCAACCACTATCACGTCCTATTTCAAGTTCTCTGATGAAGAAGAGGTCCAGAACTTTTACTCTTTGAATTGACAGCTCAAGCTCATCAAGGACTCGAGTAACATCTGAAGATAGCATATGAATTTGTAATTAACCAACACTAAAAGTTGGATATCTGTAGCTACCATGTAATAATCCCCCCCCTATAACGGCTACAAAACTTCAGCAGGTAAATGGGCGAAGTTGAGGGTCGCGGAGATGGCGGGTTCCAATAAATGGATGTCGTACATGATGGACATACTGATAGAAGCCGCTCTTTCAAATTTGCCCATTTCACAACAGGTGAGCTGGGATGAGGAATCACGCACAATACTACACAACATAACACCATATCCCATCTGTTGAAACATCTGAAGTACAAACAACATGAAAATGCCAGCTAATAACCTCCTCTAACAAAGGAACGGA